GGGTGGTGTTTCGTTCTGCTGTGCATGGGGTCACTATGAGTCAGAAATGACTTGACGGCACCTAACAACACAACAGATTTTACAGTTCTCCAGACAAGAGCATCCTCACTCGGGTCCCATCTTAGCCTCTCTGTGTCTCAGGGAAGCTAGCTGTCTCTGGTTCCCTGGCTTCCTAGCCTGGATTCTTCAGCTCTGTAGGGCAGTGTTCACACAGGCTGACAGCCTTTATGTCCTGACAAACGTTCCAGGTCCGTGTAGCCCAGAGCAGTTATCCGGTGTTGTTGCTACCGGTGACTTAAAGTTAATGTGCTGTTCTTAGTCTATGGAAATCACACTGAACTTGGTGTGAATTTTTCCTGTATGATTTCAGAGGTGAATATTCTTCTTGGAAGTGTTTCTAGTGGCTGTTTTGTGGAGTAGTCGTGATATTTGCTGTTAGTAATCATAAAACGCTTGTATGGGATGACCCTTTTCATTTTGAATTCTAGAGTCTAGTTGAGTTGTGAGCATTTGACACCCAGTGTTGGATTTTATAGGTTTGCTGAATCTTTTGTCTGTACCCTTGCTCCTCCACATCATGGGTTTATACAAAAATGAGGAATAATTTTTCAAAAGTGCCTCGAGACCCTGATCAACAGTGCTTCTAAATGCTGACCCAGTACCTGCCGGCATCTGCCTGCTAGGGATGAAATGCACTCTCCCCTCCTGCCACCGTGGCTCAGCTAGGACCACCACCTCAATGTCCTGCTTCTCAGGACATCTGCTATCTTGCAAGCATCCATGTTCACAGGCTTCCAGGTTGTCCCAGACTCCTGCCTTTCCTAGTCAGCCATCTTCAGAAACCTCTCTTGGCGCTGCCTCCTCTCCGGCTGGCTGGTTGCAGCTTGCTAGGTTGGCTGACCTGAGGTGCTTCCCTCCCACTGGCGTGTGACCCAGGTGTCTTGTCTTTCCTGTCCCAGGTGTGTATAAAACCATTCCTCAAGTTGGCTTTCAAGACTAGTCATCAACCGGGCTTGCTCCCTCACTCCCCAGATCTAATCTTGTTGTTTCCTCTTTGTCCTCCTGGTCAGGCGAGACTGCCCTGCGAAAGCCAATCAAGTTGGTTTGCCGCAGAGCGGAGAACACCCCAGCCTGGGAAATCGGTCTTTGGTTTTAAAAGATACTTCAGTGTAAGCGTTAGTTAATCCAGTGTTGGTGAATAGAATTTGACTGGAACACATTTTATTAGAAATAAGTTTCCAAAGTACCAGATACCTCTTCTTCTCAGCCTCCCCCTTACACAGATCCATAACTTGATTTGGCATAAAATCTTATAAACTGAAATCCAGTAGCGTTGAGAATATGAAGGGACAGCTCAGAGTCAGAATAAAAGGAAGCCTGCTCATCCAGTCACGTCAGCTGAAATCGCAGTCAAGATGTCATCTGTGCCTTGCAGAGTCTGGAGTGCCCAGGCACAGCGTGGCATCCATCTTCTTTTTATGTTACTTTTTTACATGTTAGCTACTGTAAGCTGGGACTGGAACATCTCTTAATTGGACAAATTACGATATAAAATAGTATTACCAGTTATTCCATTCAAGTTTGGTTTAACTAAGCCTGCATGAGACTTGTGGGTTTCTGAAGTGACATTTATTGAGTTTATAATTTGTTATTTTTATGGTTTGTTTTAATAACAGTAAACTAGAAATACTCACTGAGCCATTTTTTTTTTTCCCCACAGAAATGTTTATGTACTCCAGACTGTTAACTAATGCGGTTTAGGCTCCGTTTATGTTTGGACACCTGACAGCGAAAGCATTTGCGTGAAATATGAATGTAGAAGCTGAGTATGTGCAGTGAAAGCAGTCAGTCTATGAAAGTCAAGTTGTAGTTGCTTCTTTTCTTCCTGATACCAAAAAAGAGGTCCGGCATTAGGGTGGTTGGACATGACTGTTTTTGTTTAGTGGTATTTATTTAGTCCTTAGTATGGTGATCATCTTTCTCCCATGGAGCACCTGGTGGATTTGAACCTCTGACCTTTTGGTTAGCGGAGAAAGATGTGTGAGTCAGCTTCTGTAAAGATGACAGCCTTGGAAACCCTATGGGGTTCCTCTAGGGGCGCTGTGAGTTGGAACTGACTCCAGGGCAGTGGGTTTGGTTTGGGCTTTGCTTCGATAAAGATTGACAGCCTTGAAAACCCTTTGGGCCAGTTCTACTCTGTCCTCTAGGGGCGCTGTGAGTCCAAATTGACTACATGGCTTTTTTAATGATGATCATGGGGCTATTTCCTCTTCCAGGTTTTTAGCAGAATACCATGATGACTTCTTCCCAGAGTCGGCTTACGTGGCTGCCTGTGAGGCACATTACAACACCAAGAACCCCCGGGCCATGTATTAAAGGCTTTGACGGCCTAAGCATGGTTTGTCCGGCGCTGCTCGCCACACCAGGTGAAGGAGACAGCAGCTGGGCTACTGTGCAGGCTGAAGGCAGTGCCGCCAGCCCTGGGCGTGGTAGTAGAGACGGTGTCTGTAATTTGAGCTGCCCACATAACTGTAGTTGTTTCTGTTAAGAATGACTGCCTGGGTGCCAGCCGGGCTCTGATGTCGGATGCTTGGAACTGCGCATGCCATCTGGATGGCAGTGGGGAGCAGCCGTGTCCGTGGAGCGCCGTCCCGACGTCTGCGACATCTAGGCTGGTTCAGGCAACAGGTCGAAGCTGCAGTTCTTTGTTAGCAATAAACGCATGTTTCAGTTACCTGTACACATAAACAGTTGTTTTGCAGAGTTTCATTTTTGTGAGAAGACTCAACACCTCTGTCCAACAGACATTAATTTACACTTGGAAACTGCCAATAGGTCACAGAGTACCTTAGAGAGAATTGATCCTGATGATGGCAAAAAAAATTGGCAACTGTGCATAGGCCTACTATGGTTTCCTTTCGTAAAACCTTCCTTTTGGTGATCTAAATAAATAGTTTCCTGCTTGTTCAAGGGGAGCTCTGGTAGCATAGTGGCTAAGACACTTGCCTGCTAACCAGACAGCTGGCGGTTCAAACCCGCCAGCCACTCCTCGGAAGGAAGGTTGGGCAATCCTACTTCCGTAGTGATACTGCCTCGGAAACCCAAGGAGGGGTCACTATGAGTCGGGTTTGACTCAAC